TTTTTTTTTTTTTTTTAATTAAAAATTGCTCATTAAATTATCGCAATTTAAGTCTTTAACTTGAGGGATTTTATTTTTCCGCGCTTCTTAATATTTTTCCTTTACGTGCGCCGTACAAGGTATATGCACTACTGGGTTAGTAGGTATGTATGTGAGTATATTAATGTTAGCACGCAATGCTACCATATATTAACATATGTTAAGCGCGGGTGGTTAACACAGTGGTTCACAGCGTCGACAGAGCTACCAATACCAGCGCAACATTTTTGTCTTAGTATGCGTACACTAGCAAACGCAAACTACCTTGTAGTACGGGGGAGCGACTACAGGACTGATGAATCGGTAGCTACCTGATAAACTCCGTTAATTACCGACTGACTACTTGCAGGGTATTTCAGCGATTAGTTTTACAAGGCAATGAATGTACTAGGCGGTAGTAACCATCGGCTCTCTCTGCACTACCGGGAGTTCCTAAGGTAGTGATTTATGGGCATCCTCTGTCGTAGTTTTTCGCTACTATGCTCCGACTGGTTCGACTCTGCACTACCATGTGCACTACCACGGGTTAATAGAGTAGCTACTTACTTAGGAGTTGATGCAGTAGCGGTTAAAAGGTGGCGATTGACTCCAGCAGTACTGGAGGGAGGTTTTCGCTATTCTGCTTCCGACTGGTTCGACTCTGCACTACCATGTACACTACCACGGGTTAATAGAGTAGCTACTTACCTAGGAGTCCGTGAAGTAGCGGTTCAATAGTAGCGATTGACTCCAGCAGTACTGGAGGGAGGTTTTCGCTATTCTGCTTCCGACTGGTTCGACTCTGCACTACCATGTACACTACCACGGGTTAATAGAGTACANACCATGTGCACTACCACGGGTTAATAGAGTAGCTACTTACTTAGGAGTTGATGCAGTAGCGGTTAAAAGGTGGCGATTGACTCCAGCAGTACTGGAGGGAGGTTTTCGCTATTCTGCTTCCGACTGGTTCGACTCTGCACTACCATGTACACTACCACGGGTTAATAGAGTAGCTACTTACCTAGGAGTCGGTGAAGTAGCGGTTCAAAAGTAGCGATTGACTCCAGCAGTACTGGAGGGTAATTCGCTGCTAGCGTCGCAACAGTTCTCTAGCTGCGCACACACGACTTGTATGTGAAAGCCGAGTAGCTCCCGGATACTCCCGTGCGCACCAATGGTCTAAATCACAATTGTTATTTTGTAAGTATTTTGTCATGTGTAATTTTAAAATTATACTTTGCGAATACTTTACGAATACTTTGCGTACACATTGTAACTATTATGATACTCATTATATATAAGGTTTTAAGGAAAAACGGTGTTTTTAAAAAATGTATTTTAGAACGAATTTCCATCATCGCTTGTCAAATTTGGTTTGGAGACAAACCGGATTCGGACAATAAAAAAAGATGTTTTTAAATGTATATAGAAGCGAACCAGCTACGCAACAGAAAGTGAAACCAGGAATACGTACCAGGAATAATAAGANCGCTTGTCAAATTTGGTTTGGAGACAAACCGGATTCGGACAATAAAAAAAAGATGTTTTTAAATGTATATAGAAGCGAACCAGCTACGCAACAGAAAGTGAAACCAGGAATACGTACCAGGAATAATAAGGCAACAATTTTTTGTATTAATTCTAGCAAAAACATTTGCAGAAAACATTCCAAGAATATTTCACAACGTGTAGAATTTACCAACACTACTGTTGATGATGACGCATATAAATTTTAAAAATAAATGCTAATAATATGTTTCAGGACAAATACAAATTATTCAAATGTTGCATTTGAATGATTTTTCGACATAAATAAAAAAAAATGCAGGTAACCTTTGAGATAAACCTTGCGGCTAAATTGCCGCGGCGCTCTCTCGTGTAACTTTCAAAGAGCGCCCTCCGAAGGGTTAAACGCGCTCTGCCCAATCCACAAGAAAGTCGGCCATACCATTCCCGCCAACTACCTCGGGATCAGCCTTCTAAGCATTGGTTACAAGGTCTTATCGATTGTATTGTGTGAAAGACTGAAGCCCACTGACAACGAACTGATCGGGCCTTATCAGTGTGGCTTTAGATCTTGGAAAAAAACCGCTAGAAAGGGATCAAGACTCACCACCTATTTGTGGCCTTCAAAGCCGCTTTCTATAGCACTAAAAGGATTTCTTTAATCTGATGTTGGAGAAGATAATAATAGCTGTAGAACAACCGCTCATAAACAATTTACTACAAGAGCGTGCAATTGCTGGCGTATTCCGATAATATAGACATCATTGGTAATAAGAACCGCGAAGTCTGTACTTCCTTTTCCAAGTTGAAAAAAGAAGCAAAGTGATTGGACCTTGTGGTCAACGAGATCAAGACGAAGTACCTCCTGTCATCAAACAAACTGTCAGCGCATTCGCGCCTTGGCACTCACGTCACTGTTGACAGTTAAGTACAAGTTTGAAAATGTAGAGAATTTCGTTTACTTGGGAACCAGCACTAACACATATAATAATAGGTTTGTTCCACACGAGCCCGTGGGATCCCGCGGATGCCCAAAACAGCCCAGAAAGCGTTCCTCACGCTGTAAAAATTGGTAATGGTGAGCGAATACGTACAACTTTTTTATCGTAAATGTCTTCTTATTCGTGCCCGAAACAGCCCGGTTTTTTCGGGCAAAAATGTGCAAAAACTCAAATTGTCATAACAGCTGTTGTAGGAATGGAAAAATACCACGGAAGTC